AGAGAGAGAGAGAGAGAGAGAGAGAGAGAGAGAGAGAGAGAGAGAGAGAGAAGAGAGAAGAGAGAGAGAGAAGAGAGAGAGAGAAGAGAGAGAGAGAGAGAAAGCATACCCACAAGTTCTGGCTAAAGTTAAATCCAGCCACGTGTTCCCGCTTGAGCCGAGTTGAGCTCCAGCCACGTGTGTTGGCATTTCTGTGTAGCGGTTGCAGTTACAGTCAAGTGCAGCTGACTGATAGCTCCAGCAGGCCTGACTTGTTCGTAGCACCAACTGCGAGTAAGTGATTGTAGCTACTGTCAGGCCTGGGGCCTAGGGAGCCGGGCTGCCCAGCCAAGCCAAATGGTTTTCAATGGATTCTTGCCACGTAGCGCCAAATGTAGAGAACAGTCTTATTAAATTAGAAACACAGAGCCAATTGCATAGTTAACAGCTGAAGAGGTCAGAGCAGTAGCTGAGAGCTGAGCTTACCCAACATAATTTTGAACCATTTTCATTATCCCCAAAAGATTGTTCGTTATAAATCATTTTGTATCCCTTGTCTTGCCTCTTACTTCCAGCCCTAATCATATTTCTGTTCTGGATATTCTAAAATGAGATAATATATTGTGTGTTTGAATAACTTTTAGCATGTTCTTGACATTCATCTATCCTAGAACAATATATTAATCAGTGTCTCTTTCTATTGTTGAATGATACTCTATCCCTTAGTTATAATCTATTTTGTTTCACAGCTCACCAGTTGTTTGTTTCTTTTGGCTATTAATACTGGTTCTACACTGCATATTTGTGTAAGTGTTGGTAGGGGACATATACAAAGGACTAGGATGGCTGGGTTGGCCAGACTTTTTTTCTCATGCTGCAGTATGTCACCTTCCATCCCCACTGGGTTATGTGCTATGTTAATTTCACCATAGTCTCTCTACCATTTATTGTTTGTCTTTTGGCTTAAAGCCATCCTGGTGGGTGTGAATTGATACCTCATTTTAATTTTAATTTTAATTTGTATTATTTTATGGCTAATAATGTTAAACATCTTTTCAAGTGCTTCTTGTGTTTTCATCCTCTTTGAAATACTCAGATGGGATTGAATTTATGTGTGTACTATTTATAAGAGATATATATGAAATATAAAGATGCAGGTTGGTTAAGTTCACTCTAGAAGATAAATCAAGAGCATGAAAATCAAAAGAAAAAGTATTATAGCTATCTTATTATACAAAATAAGTATTATTCATTGCTTGAGAGATATATTTGTAAGAAACACCAGTCATACAAGTAGACTTTTGCTAGAGACCATCATCCAGTGTATTCATTGTTTGATGTTTTCTGGTATTTGTAAAATGAAGATAACTAGAAATTAGATTAGATTTTCTCTCTCATTCATTTAGAAATGATCAGCATTTTTTATTTGTTGCTTGTGTGAAGGTTAATGTTTAAATGTAAAAGTGTATGTAGTAGCTCTGTGTAGGTTTTTCAATGACTTACTTTCTTTCCACAAACACAGGCTGTTTTATCCAATCGTCTTTTCACTTTCTGGAAATAATAACCTCTCTTATATAAGAAAATAATATATCCATGTTGTTATAGATCTGTGTAGTAAGAGTATAAGATGTAATAGTAAAACAATGAATTTCAACCCTGGGGTTGGGAATTTGGCTCAGTGTTATAGAACTTGACTGGCATGTGCAAGGTGCTGGATTCAGTCCTCCAGCAACACAAAGGTCAGACCTAAAACCTAAGCCTTAAATTTACCCCCTCTAACTGGATCTGCCAGAGTATGACTGGTATGTATTTCTGTCTTCCCAAGTGGCTGAGATTGGATTAGTTTATTCTCTGAGAGTCCTCACAGCTTCTTAATGGATACAGGTATGAGTCATGCGCATCAAAATGTAGAATTACTGTGAAATAATAGAAATGTTAAAAAATTGGGTTCCAAATTACATTTTACTAAGATTCAGTCTCTTGGGCCTCATAGCCTTTGAGTGTTACAGCTCCAAAAGATCTTTACTTTTTATATGGTTACTATAAGAAACCAACCCAGCTTGAGTCATGGATTGTACTAATGGAATGTTGAGAAATTAGTGTTATATAATTTACATGTATTGAGGCTGGGTGTGGTGGCCACAGTAGAGGCAGAGGCAAACCAGACTGGTCTATATAGTGAATTCCAGGGTAGCTGAGCCTATATAGTGAGACTCTGAAAAAACAAAAATGTTACATATGTTTTTAAAAGGTAATGTATAAGGGTGAGATATAAGTAATTATGGTTTCTAAAATGAAAAATGCTTTATAAAACTGAAATTTTACACTTTCCCTTACATATGCTTTGGAGTGTTAAAAGTTTTAAATGTTATTTATATTTGTTGAGATTTTAATTTTTGGTGAATATTTCTATAGTTTGATAAAAATTTCCTCAGTTTAGCACCTAGATTTTCTTTTGTTTTCTAGGCACCATAAACTTTACATTATTGATATGTTATATGTATTAGAGATTATATAATAAAATGTGAAGGTATTGGTCCACATTAAACTTAAGATCCTGGCCATGAAGTTAGGATGGAGCAAGGGTGGTGGTATCAGGGAATTGGAGGTACTGCTGAATAGATTGATTAATATTCATCCTATAAATGTATGAAACTTCCAAAAATCATATCTATAATTTCCCCAATTTTTTTAATATTTCCATCTTTCGCCAGTAATTTTGATTACTCCAATTCTCTTTTATGCAGGTTGAAGATTGTAAAAATTTCTTTTAAATGCAAACAATTTTTTATTCAACTTAGAAAAGAATTGGTGAGTATTGATCTAATATTTATTGATATTTTAAGGTTGCCTACTCATAGGGGGAGAAGATGGCTGAATTTGTATAGGTCTTATACAAGTGCAAGAATATGGGTTTGATGCCTAGAACCCAAATAAGAAAGCTGCATGGATAATCTAGCAGTGAGGAGGCAGAGACAGGCTGACCCATCCAGCTCCCAGCCTGCCAGTCTAGCTTAATGGGAGAGCTCCAGGCAAATGAGAGACTGTCTCCAAAAATAAGAGACAGTAATTTTGAGAAATAACACCTGAGATTATCCTCTGACATCCTAACATAATGTGCGTATGTGCACCCACATGCATATAAACACACACACTGATAATATTTAAAACTTTCTGATACTGTAGAAAATACTTCTGATTTTCTTCCACATTAAATCCATTAGGACTTCCTTTCATAGGAAAGCTTATTTCATTTTGGGAGTGCTGAATATTTAGTTTCTTGTTCATGGACTTACATCTTGTATCAGAATGTTAGTATAGTGTTAAAACAACTTCATCTTATAAATTATTTTACCTGTTTGATCAAATTAAACTAGCTTTGCCTGGTATGGTGACAGAAACATGTAACCACAAGCATGCAGGAAGACTATTTGAAGCTATCCCGGGTTATAGGGCAAGACTCTGACACAAAACACATACATATTTACAAACATGAATATGCAATGAAACTAACCTTGTTCTTTGGTTTGCATTATTTTTTATAAATCTTTGCAAATTAATATATGTTTTAAGATGTATATGTGTAAAATTTTCTTAAAATCTTGAAAATGTATTTGAGTTAGCTGCCATATCCACTGTTAGAGGATAGTGTCCTGTTTTGTGATTATAGTTTATCATTTATGTTTATTAAATATGGGAGATTTTCTAAAATAGAATTTTTATCAAAATGAAATTTAGTATGGGAAAGTATTTAGACCTTAAGTATATACTTGATAAACTCAGATTAATATATAGAGCATGATCTAGTCCTGTGCTGATGGAGCTGATGTCCACTTGCAGGTACTGATCTTTCCAACACATAAGTAGCATCATTCCAATTTTTCTGCCTTGAATTAGTTTACACTCATGACATGTAAATGAAACCATACAGCATGTTCTTTTTGCTTGCCTTCTTTCCAACTTAAGTATGTGAAATTCATATTGTTGTACTGACATCCATGATGTTGCATGGTTTGTTCCTTAGTGTGTGGTATTCCACTAAGTGCATATGCCATAAACTAGCAGTTCATTCTCCTGTTAGTGGGCAGTTTTACCATTTCCCAGTGGGGAATATTATAACTAATGCTGGTACAGAACAGTCATATCGTGTGTGTGTGTGTGTGTGTGTGTGTGTGTGTGTGTGTGTGTGTGTGTGTATGAGTAAATATCCAGAGAAAGAAATATAATAAATCTTGTCCAGAAACTAGAGAACAGATATTTTACTTGGAGTAACTATAGAGAGTATGTAGTAGACAACTTTTCTAGTTTACCTGATTGTGGTGGATATGTTATCAGTAGTAATAATAATAATAAGTTATGAAATGTAACATTTTTGTGTATATGCCTGGTAATATATGAAACATTTTTATTATTTAGTTCTCATGCTTGTTCTCTGAGAGACTGGATCAGTTAGTACTGTTTACCTGTGAGTAACAACAGCATCAAAAGTCAACTAGTGAGTGCTAAAAGTCCACATACAGACATACTCTGCAGAAGTTCACGTTGCCAATGTTTTCTCTGTAAAACATTTGTGTGTTTTTAACTATCCAAACTTACAACCAGATGCAGTGATACACACCTGTAATCCTTGTGCTCAAGAGACACAGGCAGTAGGGTAGCTTTTTGTTCAAGGATAGCCTTGGTCTGCATAGCAAGTTTCAGACCAAGTAGAGCTGCATAGCAAGACTTTGAGCCAAAACAACAGCAGCAAAGCCAAACTTCGATTTGTTACCCTTACTCTTAGATACTTTATGTCCATTGTTTACAAATTGGAAAAAAATGTTGTTGCATTTCAAATACAGTTACAGTATTCACGTTATATACAGACAATTTGAAGCAATTGTTTTAAAGGGAGGTAGCATATGTCCCTCTTAGAGCACACACACTGAGAGTGTTACTGTACTATACTCTGTTAGACATTCTGTCATTTTTCATAATGTTTATTGTATATAATACAACATATAAACTGATAGTGTATGTACAAACACTTGTTAATGGTACCTTTAATTTTCTAGTCACCAGTAAGTTATGCTTTAATCATTTTACCTTTTAATATGAAAATATATGAACATTTTTGTCATGATTTAATTATGGAAAAGATTTTCATGATGAAAATAGTTCTTGAATAAAACATAGAGGGAGTTCTTTTTAACCTTGAAGATAATTATTGGTAATTTTAGATTGTTTCAAAACTGGTAAATGTTCATTAAAAGGTCTCATTAAGAGAGTTAATTAAGGTAATGAAGAAGTAGTGTGGACTATATATGAAGTACACATGCCCCCTCCAAGTCCTTGCATATATATGCTGTCCAACAGAAAAATATGCCAGTGACTTGAATACCACTTCAGGAAGGACAGTATCCACATGGTAGCCAGATACTTAACAAGGTTGAGGCAAGAAGGTTGTGAGTTCAAAATCAACCTTTGCTGCATAATGTGAGGGCCTGCCTCAAAAACTACAATAAGGTACACATGGTGGCCCATCCCTCTAATCCCAGCACTTAAGAGGCTAAGATGGGTATTGATATAAGTTCAAGGCTAGCCTGGTCTACAGAAGAGGCCATGCTTTACATCTCTTCCCTCCAAAATCCACATGGCCATTAACATGAAAAGTTGTTGAATTTTATTAGTCATCAAGAAGAGGTACATGTCATAACCAAAATGTTCCACTCCAACATGTCTATCAAGACAATGAAAGACTGAAAATAGATGAGGGTGGTACATGCTTATAATACATCTCCCAAAAGATAAGACAGGAGAACTGTCATGAATTCACGTCCAGCCTGAACTTGATAGTGAGTTCCAGGCCAGCTTAAGGTACAGTGTGAAATCCTGTCTCAATAAACAAGCAAATACAAAACAAAAATGGAAAATGACTGAAGCTGGGTAGTACATAGAACACACACTATTGTTGGGAGGAAGTATTAACCACTCAAGCTAAACATACATGTTATGATCTAGAAACAGAAATAAGTACATATGTGTACAGACACTTGGAATGTATATATACAACAACACTCATCTATCCCAAATTGGAAATATCAATTGTCTATAAACATTAAAGTAGATAAGCTTTTGTGGATATATTATAATAGAATACAATGAAAAATGGAAACAAGGATGACGAGTTTGTGGTCATGACAGTTAAGTGATTATCATTAGAAGATAATCTAGTGGAAAAAGGCAGCAGAGGGTATTACCAGGTAGCACAGAATGATATGTCTCATAGTCTGCACTGAGTGGTCGATCGCACTGTCTGGAAATCAGAACTGTTACTCAGGAGATAGTCCTTTGTGTAATGTGATTTGTGTGGAAAAAGAAAAACTAGAGAAATTGTTCTATTTTAGTGCTAGTCAATTTTTAATGTGATTTTGTAATAGTACTTGGAGGTGTTGAATGTTCCTATTTTTAATCAAGACAGAATTACAAATTGTGGGCCTATTACAAATTTAACTTATGGTCCAGGATTATATTTTGAAGCAGAATTATTGCTAATAAAATTTGAAAATAATAAAAAAATTTAAACTTATTTATATAATAGAGAATAAAAGTCCCTGAAAGTTGTAATATACTAAAGTGCACATTTTACAGATCTTTCCCTTTAGTTTACTGAGTTTTTGTTGAATAAACAAAATCACTGAGGTAGAGATTAACATTTGCAGGACTTGCATAATTAATCTGTCAAAAGAATGATCAGATCCTGATATTTTCCCACATTCTCTGAACTTTGTCATTGTATACAGCATGAATCTAGAGAAACCCTACTGGGATTTAATATGGTGAATTACAGAGCATGTAAAAATTTGTGGAAAGCGTGTGTAGAACATCACACATTCTTCCGCCTGGATAGACCACTTCCACCGCAGAAGAACTTTTTTGCACATTATTTTACCCTGGGTTCCAAATTTCGATACTGGTAAGTACTACTTTATACTAAGATTTTATTTGGAGAGAAACCCCCCCCCCCCCCTTAGATTACAGCTCTAGGCCTAGAGAGATGGCTCGCAGGTTAAGAGCACTGGCCTCTCTGTGTTCCGGAAGGACACAGGTGTAATTCCCAGACCTACATGGCAGCTCACAGTATCTGTAACCCCAGGTCCTGGGCATCCATCATCCTCTTCTGGCCTCCAGGAGAACCAGGCATGCCTATGGCACACAGACATGAGACAGACAAAACACCCAGATACATAAAATAAATTTAAAAAATAAATTCATTAATGATCTAGATCCAAAGCAATAGAATCATTGTTAGTCACAAAACCTACAGAGTCAAAATCCCCATGGAATCCTGTCTGTATGTCTATACCAATGTGTCGTATGGTGTCTTGTGATGCACACTAAGCTTGAAGACCTGTGCTTGTGATTGTGCTGTAGATAATTATTTTATAAAGTAATTAGCCACATTTGCATAGTTACAATCGACAGATTTTATAATTCCCAGTATATTTATTATATACATGGAAACTTTTCTATAAGATATGTTTTACTTTATTTTAAAAACTAATACATATTCTATAGAGGTATAGTTATTTTTTAAAAATCTACAATTTAGCAGTTTTTGGAGCTATCCAACCAGACATTCAAAACAACCATTAAGCAAACAAACAAAAAAGATTTAAGTTTTTGAACAGTAACCCCAGGTCCTGACATTTTCCTGTATTCTTTGTCTGTAATTCAGCATAAATCCAGAGAAATAACTTTTCCCAATTTATTTTCTTTATTTTTATTTCATGTGTATGGGTGTTTTGCCTGCATGTATATCTATGAACCATGTGTGTGCAATGCCCACAGAAGCCAGAAGAGTTCCCCTGAATTTGGAATTATAAATAGTTGTAAGATGCCGTATGGGTGCTAGCAATCAAACCTAGGTCCTCTAGAAGAGCAGCCAGTGCTCTTAGCTGCTGAGCCATTTCTCCAGTGCCCCTAAATGTATGTTTTTCTCTTTAAGGTAATTTTTATGAGCACATAATGAGGTGTAGTGTGGCCTTTGATGTGCTTGCAGTATGTAGTCATCAGAGATATCCCCAACCTCAGATGTGTGTCATATTATGTCCCCTGTGTTGGGAATGTTCTAAACTCTGTCTACTACCTATTTTGAAATTTACAATTAATGTCAATCATAGTTGATCTTGTGTGCTATAACATATGAGAACTTATTCTTCCTATTCAGCTATGTGTTTTGGCATTTATTGACTTTTGTTTTTAATTCTCCCAAAGGCAACAGTTTTTGGAAAATAACTTTGAAGAAGGCCTGATTAGTCTTAGCTGTAGAAGTCTAAAGTGACACATAAAAGCTAGTTTTAAAGTGAAATCTGTTAAGACTCATGCAGAAAAAGTTACTAGTGATTTAATAGAATAAATGGTATTGATTTTACCTGTTTTTTGTTTTTGATTTTCCATCTCTAATATTTTATGCTAGAAGAAATTGTTATATAAGAAAAATGTTTGGATATTCCTCCAAAAGGTTAATAATATAAACCCCAACATTTATAAATGCTCAACTTATAATAGTAGTAAAAATAATAACAGCATTCATACATGATATATCACTTAAAATGCATACCTTTCACCCCAAGGGAAAAAAATCTCTAAGTACGGGAATTCAATATCAACCATGAAGTAGAATTTAATTTTTTTCTTTTTACCCAAAACCAAAACACAGCAAATTCTTAAGTAGCTTGATAATGTGTTTTAGCAAAATCTTTTTTATTTTCCTAAAAACAATATTCAGAAAGGTAAGGTGTAGTACTTGCCATGTTAAAGGTTAAATAGACTGAGGAAGAGAGTGTCAGGCCAGTGGTGACAATCAAGGAAATGCAGAGACTGCTTGTACCTGCTCATACCCTCAGCCGGGACAGGAATGTCCTGTGCACACTCTGAATGGGAGGACATTGCAAACCCTTCAAGATACTCCTCAGTTTAATTCCTAAGTGACCAGCAGTGACATTATGCAAGGACACACACACCGTTTCATTTAGGCCACAAAGAAATGAATAGAGTGTAGTAACCAGCCTCCAGTTGCAGTTCAAACAGGTCTCAGATAAAATAAGAAAGAAAGAAGCTTAACAACTGTCTATGTATAGAAGGAAAGAAAGAAAGAAACGAGGACTGGAGGCTGGAGAGAGAGCTAGCTCAGTGGTTAGGAGCGGGTGCTGCTCCTGTCGAGTTCACTTACTAGCTCCCTCCCATGCCACCACCATCCTCAGCTGCTGTGACTTCAGCTCCAGTGGGATCAGTGCCTCTGCAGGTGCCTGTAGTCATGTTAATAGACACACGTGCACACATGATCAAAAATAAACAGAAATCTCCTTTTAAAGGAAAAGAAACTAAAATCAGCTAAGAAAAAAGCAACAACCATTCAGGCAGTTACTCCCTTTGGTAACATTGGCCTAGTATTAGCACAATTCACACACACACACACACACACACACACACACACACACACATATATTAATAAAACTAAGATTATGGATATTTTTGAAATTGAGTAAAATGTCTTAAAATAACTATTGGAGCATTCACATATAGTAAACAACCATGTTCAAGTTTTAACATTTGGGAGTTGAATTCCTTTGAGTGAAGATTCAATCAAGGTAGCAAACATGCTCATTATTTATGTCTCCCTTTAACTCCTTTTCCCAACCATTTGTCGTTAGGCAGTTGCTGGTCTCTTGTCTCTTTAAATTGATTTTCATTTTCTAGGTTCTTATATAAATTGAAACATACTTTATAATGTGACCACTTTTACTCAGCACAATTATGTCATCTCATCCATGTTGCTTATATCAGTAGTTCTCTTTTATTGCAGAGTACTATTCTATTTTTATTTTTATTTTATTTTATGTTTGGTTTTTTGAGACAGGATTTCTCTGTGTAGTTTTGCACCTTTCCTGGAACTCACTGTGTAGCCCAGGCTGGCCTTGAACTCACAGAGATCCGCCCACCTCTGCTTCCCGAGTGCTGGGATTAAAGCTACTGTATAAATAGAATTTGTTTATCCATTCGCTTAATAATGGGTTTCTCTGTTTAGTTTTGGTGCCCGTCCTGGATCTTGCTCTGTAGACCAGGCTACCTTGAACTCACAGAGATCCGCCTGCCTCTGCCTCCCAAGCGCTGGGATTAAAGGTGTGCACCACCAACGCCCGGCCCAGGTTTGGGCTATTATAAATAAAGCTTCTGTGAATATATATACACATATGTACATATATGCATTTATAAGGTTTTATGTGTACATTTACTTTGTTTTCTTGGGTCAACAACTAGGAGTAGAATGGCCAGGTTATATGGCTGAGGTATGTTTAACCCATTAAGGCACCTCTAAATATGTCTTCAAAGTAATTATGCCATTTATATACAGTACTGCAATGTGGAGGAGTTCCAGCTCAGGGCTGGTGGTATAGCCTAATGGCAGAGAACTTCCCTAGGATGTGGTAAGCCCTGGGTTCAATCCCCAGCACTGCTTCAAAACAGTGTGGAGTTCCAGTTCCCCCATGGATTGATTCATCAGTGTTTGCTGTTTCCATTGTTTACCTGGTTCTTGAACAGCATGGGTCTTATTTTGATGAAGTTGAGTTTGCCAGTTTGTCCTTTTATGAATCTTATCTTTTGTTGTCATATTTGTGAAAATGTTGTCTAACCTAAGGTCACAAAGATTTATTCTGCCCCGCCTGCAGGGCTACAACGGGTTCTCGACCACACTAAGCAGGGAATGTAGGGACAGGAGATACAAAGGAAAACACACCAAGTCTAGATTCTGATCAAAGTGCCGCTTTATTTTCTTACAGAAAGGTTTATATAGTTCCTGCAGGGTTTGGGGAGCAAGAAGCTGTCATCTGCATAAGGTGGGGCAAGCTAACAGGATGTTTGTATAGGATGTTTACAGGGTGAGAGGGTCAAGGGCTCTGACTCAATGTCCTGTTCCTAGGCAACCTGACTGTAAGATGATCTAGTTCCCTGTCTTATGGGGGTCTGTATTTTTCCACTAACTAGAGATTCTGTCCTTGTCCCTGACATTATTCCTTTATTTTCTTGTAAAAGTTGCACAATTTTAGCTCTTACATATAGGTCTGTGGATCATTTGGATGTAATTCCTCTATTTGATGTAAAGTAAACATTGAAATTCATTGCCCATGGCTGTTCAGTTGTTCTTTTGTACTTTTGTTGCTCATATTAGTGTGGTCTTGTTTGTTCACTTTATGACTAAAGCATAGAAGATTCACTGTTCTGATTTTGTTCTTTTAAAAAGGTATTTTGGGTGCTCTAGGTTTTTTTGTATTTCCATTTGAATTTGAGAGTTATTAATAGTATCTCTTCCTAGATTTAAAAAAAAAAAGCTTTCAGCTGGATTGTGACTGCGTTGATGATATCAAATTTTGGAGGACTGATTATCTTAAAAATACTGGTTGTTTCCAATCATGAAGCTCAGTGTGTCTTCTCTAAAGTTTTATTTTGTATCTTTCAGCAATGTTTGTAGTTTTGGGTGCCCATGTCTTTCAGGTCCTAATTAACCTTAAGTATTTTTATACTTTTATTCTAAATTATATTTAGATATTTCAGTATTGGTTGCTCCTGCCACTACAGAGAATTACTTTTGTTTTTATTATCAGTCTTGTTTTGTGAAAAGTTGTGAAACCCTGTGGAAACCGTTCTTAAGCTTCCAAGGGCTTTTCTGCTTAGAGGATGAAGATGGCTTCAGTTCTTTGTTTGTAATATGATGCCTCTCATTTCTTCCATGGAGAACCTTTTTACAGTGTTGTATGATATTGTGGTCAAGTGTTGTTTCCTCTTAGGGGAAAGCATGTAGTTTTCCACTATTAAATATCATGTTGGTTATGAACTTTTAAAAAAAATAACGAGTATATGACATGTTGAAGAAGTTCTCTTTCTCATTTGCTGAATGTTTCTATCAGGATTAGA